ATTAAAGAAACTTAGGAAAGTAGAAAAATCTTATCTAAAGCACATGTAGGTCTCATTTTAGGTGAGATTTTTTTGCTTTCATAGATCAAAATGGATCGTATTTATGCCAACATGACACTAATGAAATAAGGTAATGGAGTAGAGATGTTTACGTAACTCATGTGATGAGATTCTGTCTATTTTAGATCAATTATAATAATAACATAAAATTCATAACTTAATGTACATAGAGTATATATTGAGGGACTAATGATCTGAAAAACAAATAATTAGAGGGCTTTCACGGGGGCTATGCCGCAGATAAACAGGACAAGGCAGCTCAGGTGGTGGCGGTACCGTTTCTGGCACAAAGCCATGTGAACTGTTGGGTACAGGTGAAGAAACAAGGACAAGACACGAGTTAATAAAAGGCAGAGAGAGCGAGGTTGAAATATTTAGGTGGAAATTTATCAGATTGAATTTAATGAGTGATGCAAGAAACAAAGGGTTATATTAATAGTACTTACAATCTGCTAAGAAAAGTTAAAAAAAAAAAAAGTTTTTTAATATGTGTTTTTAAAAGGATAATAAATATATTTTTTATCATAAATTTATGTAAAAAAATAAAAATTAATTTTTAATTTATTAATTATCTAATTAAATTCATTCATTTAATAACAAGACTACAATTTATATCATTTTTTGATATTTTATACATATATATTTATAATAAAAATATATTTTAACTTGTATATTAAAAATACACATTATAAACTAAAAATTAAATTTCATAGCTGAAAATTTTACTTTCCAAACTGGATGTACATGGGTTTCATCATACATCTATCCATTTAACGGAAGTAGAAGAAAAATTAAATTGATTCCCACTTCCCCAGTAATAAATGGGAGGGCAGAGGTCAAGAATATTGTAAAGGTTAAAATACTAAATTTAGTTCTTTCTTTTAACTTCAAAAAGTATCAAAATTGTCTTTAAATTTTAATTTTTAATACCAAAATAATCCTCAAACTTTGAAGATAATTCTAACTTACTCCATAACCTTTGAAAACAAGTACCAATTTAATCTTTAAATTTTGATTACAAATACCAATTTAGTTTTTTAACTCTGACTATATATTAATTTGATATGTAAATGAAAATATGTCATGATAGCAAGATATGATTATTTAATTTTACATGTTGTTAGTCTTTTTAAAAAAAATTGATTTTCGGGTAAAATAGTGAGTTATGTGGCACTTCTATTAATTGAAAGACTTTTTTATTATTGAAAATTAAAGTCTAGGAACAATTTTGGTACTTTTTGAAGTTGAAGGACAATTTTAGTATAAATCTAAAATTTAAGGGACCAAATTGGTATTCTAATCTATTGTAAATGTAGTATTAATTTAAATAAGAAAATAAAAAGTTTAGACATTAATTTTATTATTAATGTCATGTGAATATTTTAATTAAACAATTAATAAAATCAATATTAGTTTTATTTTTAACTAGTTTTTTTAACCTGTGCATTGCATGGGATTATTTTTATGTCTTTTATATTAACTATTTAATTTTAAGTTAAAATCCCTTTTTGGTCCCTGAACTATTATACGGACCCCCGATTTGGTCCATGAACTAAAAAAATCTCTGATTTGGTCCTTATTGTTTACTATTTTTACCTCGATTTGGTCCTTCCGTTAAAAATTATGTGACGTGGCTTGTTACTTCACGGTTACCAGATGACATGCCATATAGTAATCCACGTGGAAGATAATATAACCAAAAAGTAATGATGTGGAAAAAATAATAATATAAAAAAATATTATAAAAAATAAAACTTAAAATTTTTTTTCTTTTTTCTTTTTTCTTTCTCCTTCCCCTTTCCCTTTCTCTTTCTCT